CCCCCCCCCCCCGGGACCAGCACCAACGCGGTTCATCATGCACCCACTCATCAGCCAGTGAGTCAACTTTGGACGAAACGGTTCTGACGGTTTCCGTTGAGACCGGCTGGAAACAATAGTTCCTATTTGAACAGCTGACTCGATGTTGTGTCCAATATTAAAATGGTTTTGTTTGCTTTACGGCGATCGAATAAGAAACAGCTAGGTTTTTGTCAACTGGAAAAGGACGTGCAACTAGGACGTGACCTAACTTCGCCTATAAAGATCTCACGGTTTCACCAAAGAACAGTAAAAATGACAGACCCTGGTATCAACTTGCTGTCGTGAGATGTTATGCCTATTCTTGAAAGGTAAGCTGTTTTTCACATGGGTTCTTTCTTGGCGCAATCCGGCGCGATAATATTAATTAACAAATCATTATAAAAGACTCATTTGTCGATTTGAAACTCAGATTACTAAATGCAGAAGGTGTTGGCAAATGAACCAATTCATTATGTGTTGAAAAAATTGACCTCGCTCCCAATGTGTGGCTTCATAGCTCGGTTGGTAGAGCATCGAACCGGTATCGCGGAGGTCACGGGTTCGAATCCCGTTGAAGCCGTGATTTTTTTCAGGCTTCTTCTTTCCAATTGCTTAAATTGGAAAATTTACTGCGATGATCATTCTTCACTTTCATTATGTATTATGGATTATGTTTAAAAGCGCGCATGAAGTTGGATGTTGTGTACAATTAATGATGGTTTATGAAACTTGACTTAGCATTTCAATTTCAACTCGAGTTCCCGTGGTTAGTATTATTTCCACATCTATAGCAAACCGATAAGGGAAAAAAGTCCCAGCAATTGTCTAAAAAATGACGCCTGGAGGGTCCGTATTGTAGACATCTGGATATGAAACAAAGGTGTTTGATGTGACAAACTTTGTTCGTTGTAACTCGTATAACAAACTTTTCAATGTCTTTCTGTGCAAAATAGCCGTTATATATCCGAAGTTGTCTCCCTGCACTAAACTTAGCCGAAACATCAATACATTATTTATTAGTATTGATGAAAATCGCTTCTTCAGTTATTTAAAACATTACCTACGGTCCCATAACAACAACCGAAGGTCGATATGAAGGGTGCGGGTGGATATATTTAGATGTCAATTAACTGTCACTGAATTTAAATAAAACCGATTGTCACTTGACATTTTGGAACGCGATTGTTTTTAAAGAATTTCTTTTAGACGGGGTAATTTTCTCAATGTCAGTCTATTTGAGTAATGAACCTTTGGCCTCGGTTATTAGACTTACAATCGGGACTATTTCAAGCAGAGTTTAGCAAACACTGACCTCGAAGAAATAACTTCGGCAGAGTTCTATACTAGTCCTTCCGTTTTTCACTCCTCTGCGGAAATAAGCTTAACGGTTTCTTTGTTCTCAATATAAAGTCCACGCAGATAAGTATGCTTGCAACATAAACTGCGCAAGGGTTGACTGTAATGCGTGCTCTTTCTCTTCTTTTGGAACCCGTCTGCGTTCGCAGGCTACCCGTTTGGTAATGGTTGCCCTCTGCACACAATGTATACATAATCTCCTTCGTGTTAAGGTAGCACACGCGAGGGCAGCACATAAGGCCGTAACAAACGCTTTCCAATACTGCCTGTCAGGTCCAACAAACCTCTTTCTTTCCTTTTTCCAATGATCTTCTTCATGTCAGTTTCCGTCGTCCTCCTTCAGTCCTCTTCCCTGCCGGAGTCCATCTCATGGCAACCCTGACGATGACTTTCGGGCCATTCTGTTAATATGTCCTATCCACCGTATCTCCTCCTTTTAATTGATAGTGGCAGGAACAATGGGCTCCTGTAGTAGTGCCGTATTTTATCTGGGGTACTATAAAGGTCTTCATTGGAGATGGTTCTTGGCCAGAAAATCCTGAGTATTGATCCTGAGACATCTTGTTCAGGAATACATTTATCTTGTGGCATGCGGATCGCGATACCTTCCAGAACTCTCTCTCTCTCTCTCTCTCTCTCTCTCTCTCTCTCTGCAGATTACCTTTTAAAACTCTGCAAAAGAGCAAAAGAGACTGAGATTAGACTTCTTAGCCAGCTTCCATAAGTTGTGCGCTCTTCAACTTTCACGTCTCATCAGTATATAGCCTCTTCCAGACGTCCAGTTTGTTGCGGGGCAACTCCAAAAACTGCTAGTGAAAAAATAAGGGAGAAGCGCGGCGAAGGAAAGCGAAAGTTCTTTCGCTTTCTGTCGCCGCGCTTAGCTTCTTCTCTATTTTTTCGCTCGCCGTTTTTTCCGGTTGCGCCCCAACTGACTGAACGCCTGGAAGAGGCTAATCAGTACATATCAAGAAATCAAATCTCTTGTGTATAGATAATTGTATGAATGAGAGTACAATTAAAGATTACACTAACAGCGGTATTTGAAAATCTCTAAAACTGGCGCACTCCCTTGCTCTTTCTCTGGCCTTTTTCTGCACTTCTCTCCAACTAACCGATCGAATGCTGGAGCCGGCTAAGGGAGGCAGATGATTACGCCATATCTATAGAAGTTTCGAACGAAGAATATTAAGTCTCCACCATTCGTATAAGTGTTCTTAAATAGCCTGCGAGCAGGACCTCATGCGTTGCGGCACGAGAACTGATGACCCAAACACTTCTTTAAGTGTATCTAAATTGTTTACAAGAGATTTGACGGGTACCCGGATTGCGGTATGCTGTTCACGACAAAGTGACAGAATTAATCGTGTAAAGCCTGCATGGTTTACGCTAAGACATTCAAGCACAAGCAAGACGCCCACCGCACAAGCAAAAGCCCATAGGCATGCGCAGAATGGATAATTTCGGTTCCATACCTCCGCGATACAGGAGAACAAGGTGGCGGACGATGTTTATGCTTATGCTTACAGCAGGGCGTTTTCACTTGACATAAGCATAAGCACAAGCACAAGCACAAGAAGAACAAAAAAGTTTTGTTCTGCTTGTGTTTGTGTTGTGGGCGTCACCACCGCGTGTTTGTGTTTATGATTACGTTGGGGGCTCCCTCACTATCGTCCTGGTTATGTTTGTGCTTGTGCTCATGTCGTAGTGAAAACCAGGTTTAATCGTGTTTCAGCAGAGAAATCAATTAGTGACTTTTCTGGTGACCAGGAGACTGTTTCAAAGAACTAGAAATCACGATGATAAATGGAGATAACGAGTGCTACTTTAATGCTATACATATGGCACTGCGGACATGTAAAACAATTTGATCCTGCTGAAGCCCTAAACAGTAAACTGTGTTGAACTGGTTTCAGTTGTTCGTAGTAAAGAAGTAAAGGTTATATGAGTTAGCTCTCTGCGGCCGAGATTTAGCGTCCCTTTAACCTGTGTACAGGCTCTCTAGTCGAGGATGGGGCGAGGATAGAGCGGGCAGAAAGATGAATGAACTTTACTCTAAGCCAGTTCTTTCTCGGCCCTCCAAGCCGCAGTCAAACCCTTCCAGCCGCAGCATGTGCACAGGCTTGTGTCCCTTGTCCTAAAGGGGCAGTCTCACCAAGATATAGTGCTACTTGAAAATCCAATGAAGGTGTTGGTATTAATTGGAAATCCACTAGTAGTTGCCTAACCTTGCTAAAATGCACCATACTAGTCACGAACGTTGTTCACAACTGTTGTGGTTACGGACGAGTAGGGAAGAAGTGGTCTAAAACTTGAAAACGTCGGGCCTACGTTTTCAAGTGTTACTTGGAGGAAAATCACTAAAAGTCATTGATCTCTTAGAGCTTGAATTTCTGTCTTTTTTGTCGTTTTAAGGTTATTTTTTTGATCAGTGAGTGCACCTTTATAATTCCAGCATAGTTTGCACAATATTCTAGTTTGCAAATTTAATTTTTGCAAAGCACGTGACCCACAGCTATATGTACCTTCTATCGCAAGAAGAGAGGTGATACTTGTAAATACAATAAATACTCGGCTTGTTTTAATGACGTGTGAGAATACTCACCTTAAACAAGTAAAAATTTATCCCCCTTGAGATCATTTCCGCCTTAAGTCTGTTCAGACCTGTTCGTGATTATTACTTTTTTTAGTTTGTACTATTTGTAATGACTCCAAGCCAAGGTAGATATTTGTCTGAGGTCTCGGCGGTAGAAAACGCGGCATTCATCAAAGACTTTTTCGACACTTAAATTAGGAGAAAATGAACAAACGTTTGCCCTTGTACATCCGGAATGGTTCAACTTTCCTGTGGAGAAGAGGGTGAGCAGACTGTTATGAAATTTCGGTGCTGTTGTTGTTGTTTATGTAACCTTCGCTTAGGCCGGCACGCAAGGAAACCTGTAAGTTTGCTTTTTGTCGCCTTGAAAGCGGTAGAGAGCGTATTGTTGATAGTGGATTGTTTTACGTTTTGTTTCCTCTGTACACACGGCTGTCAAAGACGGAGTTGAATTAGCATACGATTGAATCTCGGTCTGCAAACAAGACATTCTTTTGCAACATTTTCAGGGTTGTTTGGCAAACGCACAGTCCGTTTGTCTGATTGTATATCGCAAAGTCAGTCACATGAACAGCAACTTTCTCGCATTTAATACCATGTACCAGTCGTAACAGAAGACCACAGCTCCCCGTGGTAAGTCCTGGACGCTAGAATTGTGTTTTGGTTGTGAAATACTTTAGCATGACTTTTTGCGTTTGTGTTTGCAAACATCGAAAGCCTGAATAAATGCTCTGCGTGAATAGACTTAAAACCTTTTGTAAGAAAATAGAAACTCTTTTCAGCGCGAGACCTGCAAAGGCTAATGTGTTTCTCTATTATTCGGTATTGATGAATAGCTTTGTTCACGAATGTTATCGATTTAACTCCAGAAAATTGAGATCAATCGATTAAATCAGTCGAATAGAATAAGTGCTTGCGAAAACCAAACAAAAATCTCTTTTCATTTACATCGAGCAAAGCTGGATAGGATCAGCTTTATATGCAGCGTAGTGCATTACAACGACAAAGCTTCACGGATAATTCCATTGCCATCTGGCAACTTCATTAACTCTTTGTACATTTTCCGTGGACAGATCGCATCGACACCTTGGTCTAAAAGGATTTGTTTGTTTTTACGGTAGAGTTTGGCGTGCGGCGCGCTCGCTTCTGTTGTTTCACAGAAAAGTCATCTAAACTAATCTCTATAAGAATAATTTCCAGGGAAGTAGGAGGTGTTTGTTTTGTTTTTTAACTCTATTATGTTCTTCTTGTCATTCTTTGCAATTCACCTCGAGAAAACCAATTTTTTTTGAAGCAATTCCACCATAAAAAATTCCTGCTACGCAAGCTACGTCATATGTTATTTATTTTAATAATGGTATTTTAGTCACTTTTGTCCGACTACTAAATTGAGCTACGAACGGTTTAAGTGTTGTACAGTAGGTTAGATAAATTAATCTAAAATGTTCTAAGAAGCTATAGTCTTCTCGTATTTCTTGAAAGTGTAAAGTAATATTATGCTCTCAATTTTTAAATTAACTGCGTTTATAAAGAAACGAAAGCACCCTTGAAGACATGAAACTCTTACACCGTCTAGCCAAGGCAATTGGTTTAGCTAAAGCAGCACCGTAATTAAGGGAAACAACGCCAGGCTAATCTGGAAAAAAATTATTCAGATAAACAACTTGCAAGCCTTTTAAACTGAAATCAAATCATTCTTTAAATACCAACCGACTGATAAGTTCTGCCAACCTTTAGGAAAGTGTATTTTTTTTTTTTTGGTTAAAGGATCTTTTCTGTCAAAGTGACCTATCGTACAAGTTGTGGTACAAGAAGGGCTGAGATCTATTGCATAAATATTAATACAGTCTCTTTGTAAACAGCTAGGTGTAATCGTGATCCTGTCTCTTATGTTTACATGTTTTGTCCCGTTTCAGACTGTTTCAGTCTCTCAGTCTGGTGGTGGACGAGTGTTAAATTAACGATCCATTGAACAAGGTAGGGATGAACAATAGTGCATACAGTACAGTACGTAGAGATATATAAAACCATAAAACTAGGAAAAGTTAACTATTTCTAAATTTACAAATTAATCGACAATGATCTTCACAGTAGAAACTCTAATGTAGTAAACGTGCGGTGTTCGTTGTTCAGTGCCTGGGCGAAGTGCCCAGTAAAAAACCTGTGGAGCAAGGAGGCAAAATGAATTTATGCGCCGAAAAAAAAAACAACCTGACTTGTGCACCACACCACAAGTATGTGATCGCTGACTTCAAGCTTTTTAGAAACGGTGACTGCGAATCGAACGAGAACAATATGTACCCTAGCCTGTTCCAGGCTCTCGGTATGTACTCACACCTCGGTGTTGTAACTTGGTGCATATTTGATCTGTTTGGACAGAAAAGAAAAGTGTCGCGAGACAGCCTTATGATGTAGTTTATGCGCTACACAGGATATGAGGCCGGTGAGTCGGACATAAGCCCTTAAGTGGGCCAGGCTTTCTCAAGATGCTTAATCTAACACATTTTGTTTGCTCCAGCACCCTCAGTCGTCTAGCTAGCAAGTCGAGTCAATTTGAAATTTTGATAAAACTTAACTTATTAAACTTAAACAATTTCATCATCATCGTAGTCCTAGCTCTCCTCTGGGAGAATAAGGCCATAAAGCAATTTACTTATACAATTTACCTCTCTTAAATTATGTGAAAATTTCGCTCCCGAATCGGAAAAATTAGAAATTCCCGTGTAACCTTGTTTTGATATCGGATTGTTAGACAGCCGGCAATTGTAAGTATACGAGATTTTCGCAGTAGATCGGGAAGCCGGATACATGAGCGCTACGGGCGAGTATAGGGCCTCCTGTTTCGCGATCTACTCCGAAAATTTTGAAAAATAATCCTCTTCCGAAGGTAAATATAAACGTGACTCGGTTTACAGTCGTTTCTTTCCCTAATTCCCCCTTTCCAATTCTTTCTCTCCTCTTGTTTAATCGGCTCTTCCTTCCCTTTCCGGCTGTACATCCATTTTATCTAATTAAACGGTCCTTAACAGATTAAGCGAGATTAAAACTCGTAAAAAGGTAATCGATCATTCAGCAGATTTTTATACGTCTTTTAGGCTCTTGTGTTGAATAGCGTGACAACTTTAAAGACACGTAACAAGGCTTTCTATTTATCAACGTTTCGTTTTAATAAAGCACTTGTCTGGGCAATGAAAAGAACTGAATAGGCAACAGGGTGAAGAGGGGTGAACCCCCCACATCTGACAGGTGTTAAGTAACATTTCAAAATTCCTTTTACTCCGACAAATCGCAAGCTGGCAAAGGTAAACAGAATGACAGTTTTTAGTTTACATCGTAAGACATGCAATTTTCAACGCGATTATCTGAAACTAGAAGTTTACATTTGGGCTTGGTTGACTAATGGCTCGAGTCGCCCTTAATTTAACCGTGCTAAGATAATAAATATATAAAAAGAACCTCACTAAAAGTTGATTAGCAATTATGTCGCTGGGTTTTCTGCTTGTACATTATGAAGGCTACTTGATAAAGTCAGTCTACAATACTGATTCAATTTGAAGCCGCCCTACTGATAGCTCCGGTCAATAGAATTTGCTCGTTCGCGCTCATCAGGAAGCTGTTCGTGTTTCATCAGTTCCATGTAATGTTACCTGTTCGGCTGAAGAAGGCTGTATCCCAGGAGTGTATCGCCGGGTTGCCGATTCTCCACCAAGCATGGCGAACTTAACACGGAGAATGGCAAACTCACGCACAAAGAAAGCAAGAGAATGATGCCAAAGTTGCTTCATAGAAGTATCTAGCGAGAAAGACGAAATTAATCAGGTGAATTGCCTTCATTCAAATTAAAATGAGAAGAACACGCGGTTCCATGTAAGCGCTCTCATTTACAATCGATACCAGGCACTACTTAGTCGGCTGGTCCTGGATAAAAACACACTGATCGTGAGAAACTTGGGGATCCCGCAATTGGTGACCCGTGATCCTCGAGGGTTCCGCAGTTAAAAGCTGATCTTATAAGTGGACAGGTGATGGGAATAATGAAATCATGACCGGGAATAATGTCTTGATGTGCGATCAAAATCGCAGAACTGGTATTCAAAGAAATGTATACGATATAGTAGCGAGAATTGATGCCTAGAGCTAAATCGTTGATTGGAAAAATCCGGCGACAGTAGCAGACAGTAGCACAATCTTTTTCTTGAAACCGTAATTATCATTCCATGGAAACTGAGGCAGAACTTTCCTACTAAACTGTTAGAGAGGTTTAGTGTATGAGAAGAAATTTTAGAGCAGTCGGAAATGTAAAACGAAAGAAGTAAAGTGTATTAAAGTGACCTGAATTGACGCAGTAGAAGCCATCTTTACAATGTCAAATGAAAGGACAAGTATTGTGTTTATTATTTCTGTCTGAACCAAACATCAAACAAAGTTAAAACAAACGTAGTATAAGACACGAAAAAGGGGCAACACGAGCATTTAGTCAACGGCAAAGTTGAAAAAAGCCTGGCGATGGATATTTTGGCGCTGATGATTTATCAGTGCATGGATATAAAATGGTGATGTTCCTAAAATAGAATCTAGTTGATTGTTCAAACAAGCGCGCAGTATATTGCTTATGTCATTTGAATTGAGTTGAGTTAAAGGAAATAGGTCCTGTAGGTTATACTGTTCTTTAAGAGCACGCATATATTTTTTCCGGCGAATTTATCTAATATCGTAACATGTTTGGCCGCGAGGGTTATTGCATTTTCGTTCAAAGATACTGCAATATTTGAGACGTTTGAAAAAAACCAACGTAACTAAATTAAATGTTCTGTTCGCGTTTCTAATTGTTCAACCAAACAAATCTACTAACGAGATTTAAACAATGAAAGCCAGCTGTCGAGGAAATGAATGAGATTTTGCAATTCGCTAATATAAATACACACAAGAACATTGAAATGATCTTCCGTATTACATAGATTGCTGATTTAGTTTATTAGATTTATGGAGCTGTCAGTTTGAGCGATGTACAAGAGCTTCAGACATTTTCAGTATTAAAAAGTCTTACTATGAACAAGAGACTCTTAAATACGGATCTTTAGCACCTGGAATCAGTGATATTTAACCTTGTCCGATCTCACTCAGTATATTACTCCTTGTAATATATACGTTTTAGGTCATCAGAACATCGATCGAGAAGAGATACAGACCAGAAGAAAGCTTTACCGCGACAGACAGGTATGCTAACAATTCTCAGTTGTGTTTTATTTTCCAATCAAATTCAGAGGTTAAGTTATGAAACTGAGTAAATTCTGTAACAATAACAAAAACGGTCACTACGTGTTTTACCTTGTACTTCATTGTTGTGTCTGTCCATTTTCAACTCAAAATGCTTTCCTTCTCCGATGGTTGTGGTAAATCTAATGTTGTAACACACAAAATAAGCGAGGCCTATTAGACTGCTAGTTTACAGCAATGACAAGGAACTAAAGGTACAATTTTTGGTTGTGTTTATGTTAAATAAGCGTCTCTTTAGTTTCAACCTAATCTATTGCCAGAGTATGTTATTGCTCGCGGTGATTTCTAATCGTTTTGTGAATAGAAACTTAATAGGATCTCAGACTCATGTTTAGAATCATGCACTATATTACTTTTCTACGTTTGCAATTGGATTTCAACAAATCGACAGATACGAATTACGTCAGGCATGTAGTGATTACATTCATAAATTTTCCCCAAAAGCTCGGACGTGATTGTCGGCCTTTTTTTCTAAATGGTTCTTTCTGTAATCGCAATTCCCCTACCTCAGTATTTATTAATTTTAGGTTATCGGTCCTCGGTTCGCTTTTTTTGATTTTCCTTATCTTCCAAGACCTGTGACGTGCGGCGACAAATGGCTTCTCTTTCAGAAGTCACGTCTACAAATGTGTTATATCCACCTTCGGGTCGAGTAAATATCATCGCACGAGTTTTGTTTTTACAAAATTAATTTTGCGCTTTTCATTGGTAATTTCAAATTTGTGGGCATCCGCGGATAAACGATTCTGCTAATTCAGAGACGAACACAACTCTGGGCCTGAGCATGAAAAAAATTGACAATTTACAAGGCGCTGTTATAGTCTTTTACTATTGATATCTTCTCTTATTTTCGTTTTTGATTATTCAACAAGACTGTCGGCTTTTCACTATTAGCAATTATTATAGCCAAAATAGCTGTATACTGACCCAAGAATAGTTTGCGGAAAAATTAAGCGACATCATAAAATAACGAGATATTTTTTTCTTTTGTAAGGTGCGTGATAGAACTTTGGGGGTTTCTGAAGTGTGAGATCAGTTATGGACTATTCTTAATCGGACTAATTCAAGGACACAACACGACTCTGGGTGTGAAAGGAATTGATCATTTTCATAGCTTTCTAGTCCTTTCCGATTGATTTCTTCAGTTATTTTGGTTTTGGTTTTTGACTATTCAACAAAACTGTCGCTTTTAGACTGTTTAGTTACTAATTGTTACAGCCAAAACAGCCCGGCGTAGAACCCAAAAGAATAGTACGGGGAAAAATTAAACGTCATCAAACTTTCGGGTTCTTTTTCTTTTGGAAAGCACGCGATGGAATTTTGTTTGTGTTTGTAGAGTGAGATGATTATGGGCTAATCGGCAGTTTCTTCGGTCATTTGGTTGTACTTAAGTTAGATGAATCAACTATGAAAAGTAACCATATAAGATAATATAGCCTACAAACACAACGAGTATTCCGACCTTCCAAGGAGTATTGCATTTGCTCTTGATTACAATACCACTTTGATAATCCATAATGAATGCATATTCAGTGATAAAGTGAATTTGTGATCTCTGGCCATCGTGTTGCATCCGACTGTAGTCTATTTAAAAACCTGAAAAAATGTAATAAACAGTGGTATGAATATTTAACCTGAAGATTGCGTCATAAAGGAAAACCGAATGCTTGGACAGAAAATGATAAGAAGCGAGCACTTCTTATGGCAAACTCACTCGACCTAGGGGCAAAGCCTTGCACAAGGAGCACTGCGAACGCAAATCATCCATTATAGATGCTGTGCATTCAGGATAGGTATATATAGAACTTGGTGAGCAAAGATTTTGCCACTTGATAAATTGGCTTGATCACCAGCCGTAATTTTTTAAGGATTCTTTTCTCCGTATATAATCAGTAGATTAGTAGGAAGTAGTGTACTTCACCGCCATATTGCTTTTGTTAAGCTATTTTCCATCAGGTATATTAAAGGGAAATGTTCAAACTAGGACTTTATCGATGATAGAGAGGTTGTTTTGTAATATTTAGCAAATTTTTTTAGGTTATTAATTAATATTTTTCTGGTGGATGGGTAATTACTTGAAAACACGACTCTATTCACCTCTTCCTGCAGTATCTGAGTTCCCTTCATAAGCAGTTGGGATTCTTGGTGTGTGCGTTCGTGTTCAGTTTTCTAGTTTTCCTCTAATTTGCTTGATACAATAGAAGTTATAGTATAACATTCTACCCTGGGTTGTTATTCATCACATGGATATGAAGTTTGAGAAATAACTCTGGCCTGGGACAAGCTTTAAACCAGGCGAATATAGAAGCGGGCGGGATCGAGTCCAACTTACCCCTTGGGTGGGAGACTGACTCGCAAACCTCTTCACTTTCGCGGCGTCGAGTAGACGTTTACTTACCCTGGGTGTTGTTGCCATTCATGACGTGGTTATGAGGTAACGGGAAATCGCTCTGGCCTTGGGCAAGAGAAGATAGAAGTGGACAAGATCAAGCCCGACTTACTCTTTGGGTGGGAGAGTGGCTCGCCTACCTCTTCACCTTCGCGGCCTCGACTGGAGCAATGGCCGGGGGTGAAACACGTGTAAATCATTTCATAGTTTCAACTGAATTATCCCCAAGGTGCAATTACAAATTTAAATTGAGTTTGCATATAAGAGAGCAATAGGCCAATAGACCGTTTTCGATTTATTAAAATTCAGCTTAGTAGCGAGGCTTAGAGGAAACAAACAAAGGAATGCCCATGTTTATACATTTCTTTTGTTTGTGTCCTCTAGGCCTCACTAGTCAAGCTGAATTTTGATATATCGAAAGTGACCAATTTGGATATATTTCGATTCTAACTTGGATCCGAGGCTTATTCATCCGTCATCCTCGATGCGATTTCTTTTGTTTTATTCCCCTAAGCCTAGGACCCAAGTTCGAATTTTACATGCAGCTTTTTTTGTCACCATACTTTCTCGCGAGAAAGAACGCTGCCGTCGAAGTCGTTCAAGCTNAATAAAACAAAAGAAATTAATTATTCATCCCTCATCCTCGATGCGATTTCTTTTGTTTTATTCCCCCAAGCCTCGGGGCCAAGTTAGAATTTTAATATGTCGAAACTAACCCATTGGTAATTGATTGATTTCTTATACAATGTTCAATTTATTCCTACAGAAGTCGCATCGAACAATGGCCGAGAACACTACATCTTTGAACACGACAAAAGAAAACGCGACGATCGCGATGCCCACCCCACCCCAGCTGACCGTGGAGGACATAATCAGTGACGTTCTGTTTTGCCTGCTCGCCGTCATGATCGTGTTTGGTAACTCGCTTGTGATTGGTGCATTCAAAGTCAACAGACGACTACGCACCACCACTAATTTACTGCTAATGTCTTTAGCAGTTGCTGACATGCTGATTGGATCAATCTCTATGCCGCTATGGGTTTATACATCCATAACGTTGACCCATAAAGGACCAATCTACAGTTTTTATCAGATCTTCGATGTAATCTGTGGGGTTTCCTCGATACTAAATCTCACAGCCATCAGTCTGGAAAGATGTTACGCGCTTATTGCTCCGATACAACACCGGAACATCAGAAAACGTACGTCGCTATTCTCAACATTTGTTCTACTTCTACTTCATAACAGAACTACTCACGTTTTAAACAGTTCTGTTTTCGATGAACAAACCCCCATTATCATAAAACAAACTTTGTTGTACGCTATGAGGCTCAAAACAATCAAGTTAAGCTGAAAATTCTCGTTGACGTACTGCCATCTCCGCCGTAACTTATGTGACTAATGGAATGTTTGGTTCTCCTACTTTACTGCTTCACTTTTAGAGATTAACTGCCCTGGCATACACTGCAGGATTGGGAAAAAAAACTGGCGATACTATATACCCCCCAAAAATGTTCAACAATTATTATTATATGGCTAGTTCCGTGAGCGGGTAAAAGATGGCGCTATGTCCCGCATGAAAATTTTACCAGCAACCATATAATAAATCCTTTATTACGTCTCGGTCCATAAACACGAAAAAAAAAAAACTTGGCCAATATCCAGCCATCTTGACCGAGCAATTATGCTTAGCGCTTAACAGTTTAACAGTTTTACTAATAGCGGAAAGCTAACAGTAAAATAGTTCCAATTCTTAGTTTCTCTTGTTTCTTTATTGGTTTACAGGAGTGGTATTAGCCATAATCTTCGTTGCTTGGGTTTTAGCAACGTTGGCTGGAACGATGAGGGAATTTTTAGCCGACAAGAACAAGACGTTTTATGGTGTAATAGTAACGGTTAACTTCTTTTTCGTTCCACTCACCATTATTCTGGGAGCATATGGTACGATCTTTCACATAGCTAGAGCGCATGCGCGAGGAAGAGGAGTCAGCTCGTTCAAAAAGGTACTTCTTTTTCGTCTTGACTATCAACCTTTTAAATGGTGCTCGAGAACTCGTCACTGCAAATATCGAAATGTACGAAAGTTTATTACGTTTTGTTCAAAGGCCATAAAGAGAAGAGGTGACAACGTTTTTGGTATTTATATTAAGGCGGGTTCATCCCCTGACTGTAAAGTTAAAACCACATTATACATAGGCTGGTTTTCACTAGAGCATAAGCACAATCATAAGCATAAGCATAAGCACAAGAAAAACAGAACTGTTCGTTTTTCTTGTGCTTATGCGCGTTACTAGTGAAAACTGCACAAGACAAATAAGTGGGTTCGTTCTTCTTATGTTTCTGTTTATGCTTATGTTTATGTCGCGGCTGTTTTCACTTGTGCTTTTGCTTATGCTTGTGCTTGTGCTTGTGGTTATGCTCTAGTGAAAACCATGCAGCCTTTATGTAACACTCTCTCGTGGCACACATACAGGATATTACATGGCCGCGAGGAGATACGAAATTTCTCTTCGAGTTCAGCGAACGAATGTAACATTTTTCAACACGAGAAGGGAAATTTCGTATCTCCAAGCGGCCATGTAATGTTCTTTTTTTATATATAAATATCAATGAAATACCAAACTATTTCACTTTCGCTGCCGAAGTCGCCATTTAGTATGTAACCATAGCAACGGTGATCTTTTCACATGTGACGATAACATGCTAATTTCACGTGTGACGATATCATGTTTTTCGCGCGAAAGCTCACCTGGTATTTCATTGGTTTTTATGCAATAATTAACAATTATTCACCGAAGTGGAGGTGAAAAGAGGTAAATACGTTATTTTATGTGTGACAAGCGGTCGGAAATTTTAAAATCTCTCGTGCCGGCTGCTCGGAGATGAATAGTACTTGCTAATCACCTCCGAGTTAACCAATCAGAGCGCGCGAAAAGCACTATTCACTTTTGTGGTATATACTAAAAAGCATTATTTTCGTAGCCGCCTAATTTGCGTACATAACTGCAATCTAATGATCCGGTGAAATGTCCGCAAAAGGAAGGGTCGATATTAAAGAGATCCCTGTCCGTATGGAGTAGTTTGACTGTACTATGTACCAGTCTTTCTGCTATGTCGTCCGGGTTATTTTCCAACCAGTCTTTTGACCGACCAAATAATATCATTTTGCTTTGATTTCAGGATCTACGCATTGCTACAACAGTGGCTGTTGTCATCGGTCTTTTTCTCATCTGCTGGACACCTTTTTTCGCCCTCAATTTTGCATTTTCCGTGTGTGGAATCGGCAAAATGGGGATGACCACTGGATGTAAAGGGCTCTGGAAATTGCCAGGAGTAGTTCTAAAGATAAACAAATGGCTTCAATATTTGAACTCTGTATGTAACCCGATCATTTATGGCCTGCGAAATAAGGACTTTCGGCGAGCATTCCGCAAAATATTGCTTGGTATGTGCTGCAAAAAGGTTCGTATATCGGACTACAGCAAAAGCGCTTACGGGCGCACTGTTCGAAGCGCTTATCTGCAACGCGATTCAAGCTTTGAAAACTCGAGATCAGTTATCTACCCGCCTCAGGTTCCCTCGGGAATGTTTGACATGCGAGAAAGCTACCGCAAAGCGATTCAAAGTGGACGCAGCAAGCCTATCAAGCTGAAGTTCAATAAAAAGAGTCTGGCGGACGGCTTGCTAGCGTTGAACGTTGATGCATTTCAAAGCCGTCCTACGATCGATTTTACATCGACCACTCAATTGGCTTCCTCGTCAGGCGATACTGTCTCTTCAGCAGAACTTTGTAATCCTGGCTTCGAAGAAGATCAAACAGAAACTGGTATCTACACTATCGAACAAGCTGCACAAGAGCAGGACTACAACGACAACGTTTCGAGCTCCAATAACTCTTTTCATAAAAGTTCTCCGAAGGCTTTCATGCAGAATGGAAAAGTCCGGGTTCATTTTACGCCTTCAAACAACCCAGAAAATCACGACAAAGGTGAATCCAAAACCTCGTCTAGACTGGCACCTTTTGACAGAAAACGCTCACTATCGGAAATATTTGCTCGCCCAGGTAACCCAGAAACGGACAGTCCCAAACAGAAACTGCGTTCCTCATTTTCTTAGTAAGGTCACTAGTCGGCGAAAGCAAATTCATCTGTTGGCGGACGTGACGGTTCCTGGACTTGTATCAAACCTGTTTTTGACTCGAAATGACGTCCTGGTTCACCGTAACCGGCTGGGACAAGCATTTATGATTGCTTAAGGTTGCAACTGGTGTCCAAAGAACTAAGTGCAGCAGGCTTAACGAATAAGGTTCTTTCCCTTAGCTAACTACTTAATGTAGCTTTCCTCTTGGGATTCCTAAGGAACACTGAGGGAGAAGCCCCTTAACTTGAGGAGGAGCGTGTAAAGCTTTAAATAGTTGGAAAAAAAATGAACATTAAATCATGAAATTATACTAATTCTCGTGAAAGTCAGTCGTTGCACGGAGATAAAGGAGGATTTGCCAATTTCGTGTTAACGGTCTTTCAGCGACACAAATTACAGCTCCTTTAGTTGAACCTAGTTTGACGAAGACAACTCCTGGGGACAAATTGAGCTATTTTGAGTCCTGTGACAGCGTCCTCCTGACGAACAAAGCGAATCAACACAGCAAGGAATTTATTCCTTTTTAGATCTCTACAACAGTTACTTGTATGAACATTTTATGTACCGTAGACTATTTCTCAGGACACTGCAACTTAATTATGTTATTTTATAACTTTGTCTTACTTCGTAGGTTGTCACTAAATGAAGAATTCATGCATATATTTTAATCTCTGTGTAAACTGATTCTGCTTTGGTCATGTTCATTAATGATGTAAGGATACGCGTCCACACTACGCCAGAGAATTATAAAAACGCATGGAATGTTTTCTGTCCACACTCGGTCATTTTGTTTTTGTTTTTGAGTAAACCTCGGGCAGGGAAATATCACGATCATCGTAACCTCAACGTTTTCGAAAAGTTTAGTTTTCAAAATGTTTTCTGTGTACACTAAAATGCAAAGCCAGCGTTTTCGAATCCCTCCTTTCCCGAAAAGCTCTGTTTTCGTGACGGTTAGGTGGACGGTGGGCCTAACCGGAGAAATAAAGCTCCGTTTTCAAATTCCTCCGGCGTAGTGTGCACGAGACCTCAGACTACCCCGAGGTGGCAGGCACTTTAAAAATTGCTATGTAACTTTCGCTTTCTGAAAAACCTAGAGCATGTCTTCGCCGTTTCTGAAGCAAAAAGCTGTGTTCTCCGTGTTCTTGTTTTCAGTTCCAAGATCGACTGAAACTAAACCTTACTGATCGCAAAACAAAGGTTTTAAAGTTAGCTCTAACAATTTGATAGTAAATCGAGACAGTACATCTCCATAGTAGCCTGCGAACGTCACTTGGTTCCGCCGAAAAATAACGTCTGCGAACCCGAGCCAGGAAACGATTTCTGTGACGTAGGAATTCTAAGCCAATCACAGTTTAGCTCAGATAACCCCAGAACTACTGCGCGACTCTGCGCGAGGTATTCGCTGCGAGGAGCACTCGAGTTTTATTCTATCATGGAATCTGATTGGCCAAGGAGAAACAAAAGTCATTACGTCACAGAAATCGTTTCCTGGATCGGGTTCGCAGACGTTATTTTTCAGTGGAACCAAATGACAGCCGGAAATACGTCTGCGTCCGTAGCTGATGACCTTTGATATTGCAAGGAGAATTAGGCCCTGATTAGGACCCGATTAAAGATTAATCACCTAATAAATGTGTAATAATATCGACAGCGAGCAAAGCTGGTCCTGTTATAAACATTGTTTCACTATTATTGGCACTTATTTCCTCATTGCCTCACCTAGACCTGAAAATCGTGCCCCGGCTTTTCTCTTGAAGTTTGGAAACCTTCAAGTGAAATGCCCTGGGCACGAAGTTGGGATATGACCAGTCTGACACTTGAAGTTTTGCCAGCCAGTGGTAATGCATCCGACAGGTCTCTAGTGACTAGAGTGATCAACTTCACGTCAATTATTTAATTGATCAACTACTGCCAAGTGTAAGGTTTAGATTTTTAAAAATTGTTGAAGATTTATCCAGGGTCTTAATGAAAGTCATGTTGTGACTAATTGTATAAATAAGTAGATTAATTACTGGTGCATTAACAATGTGCACGTAACACTATGTAGATAATTATACAGAAAAACACGACCGCGTGATGTAGATCATGCGCGTGACGTAACATTGAAAGAACCAGGAGAATAGGTTTGGCATATATAGCACATAGAAATTTTTATACAAGGGCAATAAACAGATAAGAACCCATCCCAGTTGCCGCGGCACAATCTTCAGAGCGTGTCGCAATAGAAGAGATGGTTTCGCAGGGAACCTGGTGGAGCGCGCTGCCTGCTCGCGCGTGACTTCGTGTGCAGTCACGACCGTCTTCTCCTAAAATCACCTGTTTTACAGCCTGTACGTTGAAGAGAAGTGTGAAAATCGCGGAAGAGGAAGAGAGTTGGGAAAACGATCTTCATAACAATATGCTCGTATAGGTCATGTTTCCGCTCTCGACTATCTCTGATCATCCCTTATTTTATATATTCTTTATCTGTTCCTTTGATTAGATAAACCATCTAAAAACAAGAAAATTAATATGGGTTATTGACCAAGTGTGAGGTCCAGATGGCTGGATATTGGCCAAGTTCTTTTTTTGCGAGTTTATGGACCGAGACGGAGTCGAGGTCCATAAACTCGCAAAAAAA